TTTGTTCGTGAATTTAAACCAACAAGCGATACAAATATGTATATGTATATTACCTATACTTTCAGAAACTCAGAAGTTCAATTTTATTCTAAAAAATTATCCGAATTTGAATATGAATATGAACTTATAATTAAATTAGTGTTTTGTAGGAAATCAATTTTTATTATATATTTTTTTTCTAATAACACTTCATATYGAAATACTACAATCAATGTTAATTTTCAGAAAAAAGGGAAATTCAATTGGTACAATATATTCTATAACTTTATTTAAACAATACAACAAATTTTGACGGGTATGAAGTATTGGTATCCAAAGCTGACTGCAGGTTACTGGTTTTTACAATGAATATATTATGTACATTTTTATTTCAAATTTTAATACTTTTTTGATCACAAAATATAGAGTTACTACGTTTGTAGTGTAAGCAGGTATGCACCTTACCAGTAGTTTATCTTTAATATTATATAGGTAAAGCGTTCATGAAACTCGGCACATCAATACTCAGACACACTCGATACTCACACTCACACACTGCAGATCAAGAGGGCGCAACACTAGTATTTATTGTCTCAGTCTTACAAACGCGTAACACAGCAAATTTAAGCTCAGCAATTCACGTTTTACTCCGTTAGTTTAAAAATTAGAGTGAATAAACCTATTTTGAARGTTGATGGTAATGTGATGGAGAATGACAGCAATTTTCAATGCTATAAGCGCATAATTTTTTTCCTGAGTAGAGAGGGGGTTAAATTTCCTGGGATTTTTTTACCCGAATTATTATTTATTTATTCAGTGCTTTTTTCCGAAATCTAGGAAAAAAGYCACTTACCAACAAACACTAATAAACATTGGATAAAAATGATAATATTATTTTAAATTATATAACAATAAATGTATTATGATTTTATACTCTAAATATTCCAAATTTACAACTGTTCTACGAATTTTATTATTAGAACTATTGAATTTACTTATCAGGTAATCAGTAAATTATGTAACATATTGTTATTATTATTATATTGTGGTACTTTATTAAATAAGTTAAATATTATTAGGTAATCATTGTTGTACTTTTATACTTTTATATTAATAAATATAGGTACTAGTTTTTTTAGTAATCATATAATAATAAATTAATTATGTAATTGTATAAAACAATAATATTACAACTTTTGAAAACCATATGAAATAGGTAGAAATAAAAATGTGTAATAGGAAAATATTGAAAATATAGCGTGTTAAAAATTTAGTTATAATTATATAATAAGTTACCAGTGGCGTAATTTGGCCATGTT